GTGGGGGGGGGGGGAATCTTGAAAAGTGGCCGGGGGGGGGGCTGCTGCGCCTGTGATAGAAGGGGGGTTAAAAAAAAGCGGGGGGGGCCCAGGCGTTCACCTGCAAAGAATTGGGAAAGGGGAGGGCAGGGAGCGCGCATGGGGGGATTGCCCGTCTGCGGAATTGCAGCAGAACGCCTCAAAACCTGTGCTAAAAAAAAACAAACAAAAAAAAAAAACAAAAAAAAAAAACTAAAGGAAAAGTGCAGAGGGCGAGTCCCCCACCCCAAAAAACATCAGTTGCAAAAGGTGATGGGGGTGGAAGGAGACGTATAGGGAAGGAAGAGGCGGGGGTAAAGACAAAATTTGAGCTCCCCGACGAGGATGGGATTCGAACCCACGCGTGCAGAGCACAATGGATTAGCAGTCCATCGCCTTAACCACTCGGCCACCTCGTCCGCGATTAACGCCCTGGCCGCCGCGCCGCCATGGGGCGCACTAAGCCGTGAGGAGGAGGAGGAAGGGGGCGGGGACTGAGAGAGGAGGGGCGGGGTTTCGCCCCGGGGGAGGCGGTGCCAAGTAGGGTGGCGGGCGCGGGGCGCGCGCAGGGGATGTAGCTCAGCGGTAGAGCGCATGCTTCGCATGTATGAGGCCCCGGGTTCAAGCCCCGGCATCTCCAGCGGGGGTGGGGGTAACCTTCCTTCGCCTTTACTTTTTTTTTTAAGGGGAGGTGGGTGGGTGGAATAAGGACTCGGCCCTTAAGGGGAGCCCCCTTACCCCTATTTTCTACCTCCCGCCCCGGAAACCCCGGCACCTCCACTCTTTCACCGCCCTCCCCCATGTGCCAACGCAGTCTCCACCTGGAATTTTTCCAATTACTTTTTATCAGGATAAGTTAAAAGTCTGTGTGTATAAGTAGCAGAGTGGCGCAGCGGAAGCGTGCTGGGCCCATAACCCAGAGGTCGATGGATCGAAACCATCCTCTGCTAATTACCTTTTTCTCCCCCCAATCTTATTTCTCCCCTTGTTCACCCCTTCCGCGTTTGCCTCACGTCCTCAACGCCCCCCGCTAAGGATAAACACCCCCCCTGCGCTGGATTTACTGATTTTCTCTCCCTCCTAAATATCACGATTTATTTCGCACAAGCACCCAACTCTCCCGCGACGCACGGGTGGCTGCCCTGCCATCTTGACAAGGTGTCCCAGGTTGGAAGGGACCCGCAAAGAAACCCAGCCCAACCTCCTGCTGGCAGCGGGGAGAGTTAAATCAAATAGGATTGCTCATGGCTTCAGTTTTGGAGGAATCTCTAAGGGCGGAGAGCCCAAACCCTCCCTGCACAGTGCTTCCCCATGTGTGATCGTGCTCCCGTTTGCTCCGTGGGTGCTTGACCGGAGCTCAGCGCTGGAATGAGAAAGCTGCTCTCTACAGCGACGCTATACCCGGGATGATCAGGCCTCCAGAGGGGAAAATTTAAGTCCCAAAAAGCCACCGGGATCCGCCGTTAATCCCGATCCGAGCGCTCTAGCCCAGGAAGCAACGAGCGAGCGCTGCCGGCTTTGGCGCCTAAACCGTCGGTTTAAACTCCAGAGCCGCCGTCTGATTGGTGGATGAGAGGAGCGGCGCGATTCGATTGGTCGGTGGGAGAAGGGAGGCGGGGGCGAGGTGGAGGTAGGCGGGGGCGCCAGAGGGCCGACTGAAGTTCTCCCTCAGGTCCGCACCCTCGCGGGCCTATATAAACCCCGGCGGAGGGGGGGCTGCGCTCAGTCCGCGGTGGGGTGAGTAGGGAGCGGGTCTACGGCGGGGTGTGGGACGGGGCTGGGCCGGCGCTCGCAGCTGGACACCCTTTCCGGGCCCAGCCGCGGTGATAACGTCCATTTATCGCTGTTTTAATGCTGTTCTGTTAAATTTCGTCAGTTCCGGGCGGTTAACATCCCTCCCGGGGTAACAGGGAGCGATACAAAGTTGCGTGTAATGACTCACCTGCTCCCCGTAGAGGCTTCACGGCTCAGCCCGCCGCAATTCGCCCTCCGTGGTGGGAATTAAAGCACCCCAACCCCCTTTTTTTTAATTATTTCTTCTCTCTGGGGAACAAAACCCGCGCAACGCGGAGGGAGGTCGTTGAAAAATCCGTGGCAAAACGCCCCAAGCGCGGAGGGTGGGGAGAGGCAGATGTGGTTTTGAAGGGAGGAAAAAAAAAAAAGGTTAAAAAAAGGAAATTGAGGCCTCCCCGTCGGGGAATCGAACCCCGGTCTCCCGCGTGACAGGCGGGGATACTCACCACTATACTAACGAGGATGTAGCCGGTAGCGGTTCTCGGCCGCCGGTTACTTAAATTTCGTCCCGCCGCCGTCGCCGGGCGCCGGGAAGCGGCTCCGGTCGGTGTGTTCCTTCCCCCCTCTGTGGGAGAACCTCGGAGAAGACGCGGACACGCGTGGGGAAGGACACGGGATTGTGGGGGGAGAAGAAGCGGCGTCAGGTGCCGGTGATGGAGAAGGAGGGCGGCCAAGGAGAACGCGCGGCGCCGTGGCTTAGTTGGTTAAAGCGCCTGTCTAGTAAACAGGAGATCCTGGGTTCGAATCCCAGCGGTGCCTCCGCTCTGTCGCGTCTTTATCGCGATAGCCTGGTAGTTTTCATTATTTCTCCCCCGCTTTTTTTTTTTGTTTTAAAATAAAAGGCTACTCCCAAATCTTGCCGGCGCATACCGAGGAAGGGAGGATGCATCGGGGTGGAGTTCGCGGGGAAGGGATAGGAAAAAAAAAAATATAAAAGCGAAAATAGGGGGGAGGGGGAAAAAAAAAAAGAAAAGGTATTTTCCCTGACCGGGAATCGAACCCGGGCCGCGGCGGTGAGAGCGCCGAATCCTAACCACTAGACCACCAGGGAGCGGTGAGAGCACCTCTACCGCCGGCCGTCAGGGCTCCGCGCTGCTGGCGCTGGAAGGAGGAGGGGATCCAAACGCTGCGCAGCCATTGGTCGCCCGCGTTCGGGGAAGGGAACCAATCAGCCCGCGCGCTTTGGAGCCGCCCCAGCGGAGCGGGGGAAGCGGGAGAGGCCCCGCCGTCCTTTCCCGGGACCACCCCCGTCGTCCTCCCGGGGCCGCAGCACCGCGCAGACCCCCTCGAGCCGCATAAATCCCCCCCCCATTTCATCACTGGAGACAGACCCTCCTCCTCCATTGAAGTTTCAGGCTTTTTATTGCTCCTTGCAGGCGGGGAGTCTCGGCCGAGCTGGGCTGCGGGGGCCGGGTTGGTGAATTGGGGTCAGGTTTGGGGATTTTGGGGATCGTTCAGCCCCAGATTCCCGCGCTGAGCCCGGGAGGGACGCGTACCCCGAGGAGCGGGACGAGCCCAAGGACTGCGGCGGAGATACAAAGCTGTAAACCGGCAGTTTTAATCACTTTTTTGTGGGTAATTAAGCCCATTCGGGTGCCACCCTGAGGTCACGCCAAGTGCCATCGAGCCGCGGGACGTGACACTGCGACGCCGCAGACTGAAATCCAGCACCAGGAAGGGCTGGGAATAACCCGGCTCCGGATGCGGCCATGGCACCGGAGACACGGCCCCGCAAGAGCCGGGAAGGGCGTGCAAGCGTCGGGTGACACGCAACAACCGGCGTGTTGAGACGCGTGACGGCGCGTGACACGCGTTGACGGGGACGGTGGGAGGGTGGCATGCACAAGCGGCGCGACCGGTGCGCGACGTGCGTGAGCGGCGCGTGACACGGGACGCCGGCCACGTGCGAGCAGCGGGGGCGAATGGGACGCGCACAACCGGCACCAGCAGCGTGACACGCGTTCACCGAGCGTGCGACGCGCGCAAGCGGCGTGTGACACGCGCAAGCAACGTGCGACATGCCCCTTCCCCCCCCGTCCCACCACCACCACCGTCACCCCTCTACAACACCTGCACCCCCGTCGCACACCCGGTGACGGAGGGAAGCAAAACCGGCACGCGAAATCGGGGCAAAATCAGGAAATTGAAGCGCTGCCGCGGCACGGTGACAGCAGGTGTGTGCTCCGTGGTCCCCGCGGCTCCCCGAAACTGTGTTCGTGTTCTAACAACCCACCGCCGCCGCGGATGAGCGGTGCCTGGATAAAGACCCAAAGCGTCGCGGTTTCACCCCGAAGCAGAGGGAGGGCGGTGTCAGCCGTCGGCGTGCGTGACGAGTCACTCGGGGCTCAGCCAAGCGCCGGCCTCCTCCACGGCACGCGGCACGACGAGGAAAACCTCGCAGAGCCCTTGGGAGAGGAAATCCCGCAGGAAAGCCCTGTGGGAGGGCGAGGAAGAGGAGGTGACCCCCCACCGTCCCTATGGCCGCGTTTTCCCCCCCAACGACGTCACCCGGCGTCACCCTACCTGAGCTCGGCCTCGCCGCCGATGGCGACGGGCGCCCGGAGTTTGGAGTCGAGGTTGTAGTAGGTGCCGCGGAGCTGCCGTACGGCCAACCAGTGCTTACGGCGGAACGGCAACGCCACGAAACCCAGCGAGACGTGAGAGGGGACGTTGAGGATGAAACCCAGGATCTGTCCCAGCGCCAACCGCTCCAGCGACCTGCCGGAGAAGGGCGAGGAGGGGGGGGATAAAGAAAAAATAAAGGGTGAGGAGGGGGCTGGAGGGTGGAAAAATGGTTCGGGGGGGGGTGAGCTCGGGATGGGGGCCGCACCGGCGTTTGTCCCACCAAATGGCCGCCAGCTCCAGGCTTTGCAACGCTGCCATGATGACGTTGACGTCGTAATTACCGGTGCCCAAGAAGCTGCGGTGTGGGTTGAGGCGGGCGTCGGGGGCCAACCTGTTTCACGGGGCAGAATTAAAAAAAAAAAAACAACAAAAAAACAACAACAATAAAATAAGCGAAAGAACCGAAATAAGGGAAAATGGGGGGAAAAAACCAGGGCGTCGCGCACCTTTTGCAGATCTCGTCGGCGGCTTCCTGGGTGAAGCAGGGTCGCTGCAGGACGTTGTTGAGAGCGTGGAGGGCGCAGAGCTCCAGGCGCTGCCGCTCGTGGTAAAGCCCCCCCCCCGCCGCCCCCCCC